CCTTTTTTTTTTTTTTTTTTTTTATGTTCTGAAGTACACTTAAGGAAAATGACAATCCTGTCAGCAATAGTGGCTCTCTCAAACCAGTCAACTTAAATGCCCCCAACCCCTCCCTTTCTTCCTTTCTGATGTGAACTTGGACATTACCATTTTCTCTCTCTCTCTCACTAAACCCACCAGGTGAGAAAATTTGAAGCTGTAGAATAGAGGAAAACAAACTGGCAAATATGGGTAAAAACTTGGAACACTTATTATACTTAACTAATTAAAAAGAGTAGCTGCCATTATGACAACACACAGATACAAACTACAAAGGAGGTATTCAATAATTCTCTACCCATTCTAGTGGAATATTTTAAAATGTAAAAATTTCTTAGGTTCACAAGTAAGTAGTTTTTAATATTTATGCTTAATGGCCCAATTATTTTAATATATAACAAATAAAAATGCACTATTGCCTTATAATCTAGTTCCTATTTTAAAACTCATGTAGTATTTGCAGGGTGGGAAGTTGGTGCCAGACACACAAGCTGAAAAACTTGACAAATGCTGTGCTGGCAGTATGAAGGAAGTACTTTGAGAGACTCAAAGAGAATGACCAATATATAGTAGGGGGAATACTAATAGTTACAACTTGAGGGCTTACTATGTGTGAAGCTTTTTACTTATATTGTCTCACTTATTCCTCTTATAGTCTTACTATATATACATTCTTAACAAACTGAAGTTGAGAGAGATTAACCAAAGTCTAAAGATAGGTATTAAGGAAGTGGCTAGAAATACTTCAGAAAGAACAGCTGAATTACCTTAACAGAGGAATAATTAAGATCTTCTGGACAAGGGGAAAGGCTTCACTTGGAGGTATGACAGATCATGTCTTGTTTAGGGAAATGGTGAGTCGCACTACAGTATGAAATCACAGGGTTCACGGAAGTGAGTTGGAGTTAGAGTGCAGAGGGAACGCTGAGGGCAGAGTGAGTGCCGGCTGTTTAGAGTTCAGGGCTTATCATTGGTAGTGTGAACAGTGAATATCACTTTTAAGAAGAGAACTAATCATGATCAGATCTGTGTTAGTACTCTGTCAGCAATATGAAATGAGTATAGGACCAGAGTGAGACTAGAGGCAGGAAAACCAGTTTGGTGGCCATTATGAAAGTTTAGAAGAGAGATGAATGATGCCAGGGTAAAGGATTTTCTTGGGGATTGAAAAAGCGATGAATATGAAGGCTTCTAAGGCAGAATGGGCAGAACTTGGTTACCAAAAGCTGTTTAGGTGGGTCATTAGATGGGGATTACAGGCCAGGTAGGTGGAAACTGAATGGTGGTTCCATGAACCTATTGACATGTTTAACATGCTTGTAGAATATCTATAGAGAGAGGTCTAGTAAGTAATGGGAAATACTGGACTAAATGATCTAAATGATGCTGCATTTATGGATAATTTTTGTTTTGTGTACTTGGGAAACAAACAGGTCAACATTTTTTATTTGTATGCCTGTGTTTTGTAGCCAATTAAATGAAAAGCCCTTACCTGAAGGCTGGGAAATGAGATTCACAGTTGATGGAATTCCGTATTTTGTGGACCACAATAGAAGAACAACCACCTATATTGATCCCCGCACTGGAAAATCTGCCCTGTGAGTTTTCTAAACATTGTAGATTAGAAGTAAGACTGATCCTAAGATTTTGTTATGAAGATCTGAATTAGCAAGGAATACAATTCTTATTGTTTCTTGAGTTGAGTTGCCCAAAGGTCATTGTTCACTAAATATTTTGCATTTTTATTACCCTATGTATTTATCACCATATTTTCTCCTAGAGACCTTTCATATGTTATCTATTCACACAGCACTAAAAGGGTTATTTAGAAATTATCAGTACAGTACTGCTCACCAATTAATCCCTGATTTCTGATGCCTGCTTTCTTTCAATTCTCCAATTTGTTTTTCTTTTCCATATTTAAAAAGTAACTTTATGTTTTGTTTTGTTTAACATGTTTTACTTAAGGTGTTTTTTTGTGGTGAAATACAGCAGAGTTTACCATTTTAACCATTTTAAGTGTACAATTCAGTGGCATTAAGTACATTCACTTTGTTGTGCAACCATCAACACCATCCATCTCCAGAAGATTTTTATCATCCCATACTGAAACTCTATGCCTATTAAACAATAACTCTCCTGTCCCCTTCATTCCTTAGCCCTTGATAACTCTTAACACTTCCTGTCTCTATGAATTTGACTGCTCATATAAATGGAATCATATGGTATTTGTGCTTGTGACTGGTTTACTTCACTTAGCATTGTATCTCCAAGGTTCGTCTGTGTTACATTTGTATCTGAATTTCACTCCTTTTTAATGCAGAATAATACTTTAGTGTATGTATATACCATATTTTATTTATACATCTGTTCATGGACTTTTGGGTTGTTTCAAACATCTTTTGACTATTGTGAATAATGCAGCTGTGAATGTGAGTGTACAGATATCTGTTTGAGTTTTCGTTTTCACTTCTTTTGTGTATAATACTCAGAAGTGGAATTGCCCGGTCAATGGTAATTCTGTGGATTTTTTTTGAGGCACTTCAAGACTGTCTTCCACAGTGGGTATACCATTTTACATTGCCACCAAAAGTGTACATAGGTTCCAGTTTTTCCATATCAACGGTGGTTGTTTTCTGTTTGTTTTTTAAAAATGTCAATCTGATGGGTATGAAGTGGTATCTCATGGTTTTTATTTGTATTTCTGTAATGATAAATGATTTTGAGCATCTTTTCATGTGCTAGTCGACCAAATATTTGTATATCTTCCTTGAGGAAATGTCTATTCAACTTCTTTGCCCATCTTTGCATCTGGTTGGTTGTTTTTTATTTTTTTTTTTTAAGATTTTATTTATTTATTTATTTGAGAGAGAGAGAGAGAGAGCCTGAGAGAGGGGAGGGTCAGAGCGAGAAGCAGACTCCCTGCCAAGCAAGGAGCCCAATGTGGGACTCGATCCCAGGACTCCAGGATCTTGACCTGAGCCAAAGGCAGTCACTTAACCAACTGAGCCACCCAGGAGCCCTGTTTTTTATTTTTTGAATTTTAGAAGTTCTTTATATTCTGGATACTAATCCCTTATCAAATATATGCAAATATTTTTTCCTATTCTGTGCATTGACCTAAGTTTTATAACTTTAGCTCTTAGGTGTAGGTTTTGGGTCCATTTCTAGTTAATTTTTGTAAATGGTATTAGGAAAGGGTCTAACTTCATTTTTTTGCAAATGGAGATCCAGTTTTCCAAGGACCATTTGTTGAAAAGACTGTCGAATGGGCTTGGCACCCTTGTAAAAAATTCTTTGACCATATGTATATATGCAAAAGGTTTATTTCTGGAGTTTATATTTCATTGGTCATTATGTCTGTCTTTATTCTAGTTCCACACTGTTTTCATTACTGTAGGTTTTACTAAATTTTGAACTCAGGAAATGTGAGTTCGCCAAGTTCTTTTTTGAGATTGCTTTGGCTTTTTAGGGTCCCTGAGATTTCATGATTTTTAGGATAGAATTTTCTGTTGCTGCAAAAAAAAATGTCATTAGGATTTTGATAGGGGTTGCATTGAATTTGTAATTCTCTTTGGTTTGTTTTGACATCTTAACAATATTATGTCTTTTAAGCCATGAACATAGGGTGTCTTTACATTTATTTGTCTTCTTTAATTTCTTTCAACAATGTATTGTAGTTTTACAGTATGCAAATCTTTTACCCCCTTGGTTTAGTAAATTCCTGGGTTTTTTTAATGCTATTTGTAAATGGAATTGTTTTCTTCAATTTTTTTCAGATTACTGATTGTTAGTGTATAGAAATGCAACTGATTTTTGTGTTGTTTTATATCCTACCTTGTTGAATGTACTTATTAATTCTAATAGTTCTTTGTTTCGAATCTAGAATTTTCTAAATATTATATAATCTTCAAAGATAATTTTTACTTCTTCCTTTCCAATTTGGATGCCTTTTGTTTCTTTTTCTTGCCTAATTGCCCTGGCTAGAACTTCTTTTTTTTTTTAAAGATTTTATTTATTTATTCATGAGAGACAGAGAGAGAGAGACAGAGGCAGAGGGAGAAGCAGGCTCCCCGTGGAGCAGGGAGCC